CCGCGACAACCGACGCCCACAGTACGGACCATGCGCGGTGTGCGGTGGCATGAGTCACTCTGTCCACTACTGCAACAAGCGATGCAAGTTCTGCAAACAACTCCACGATGCTGGACAATGTGAACTTTTCCGCCACTTCCAAGACCTTGCCAAATTCGTGCGTGCTATAGGCACGAAGGAGGAACTCCCGCCAGAGCTTAAGGCCGTCGTTCAAGAACATCATTTAAACTAGGCAGCCCGCCAACTACAACTGGGTTGGTCCCTATCGGGCTGCCACAGTTAACCGAGCCTTCAATGGAAGCAGAGTGTATCTTTGCTTTCATGGGACAGAGTGAATGGCCTGATAATTACGTAACAAGTGTGAACGCGACGGAAAATGAAAAGGAGAGGAGTAGAATCCTCGGTCGAGGTGTTGAAGAGAGAGTGGAGGGTGCTGATACTGATGAGGGCACCAGCGAGGGTTCGTTCGGCGTGATTTCGAGTGCAGCGCGAGACGAGCCCAAGGGTCACTCCAAGATGATGAAGTTGAACCCTGGCGAGAGACAGAGGTGGTGGTCGGCCAAGAAATTCGACCGACGGATCAGGATGAGAGCTCTGGTGCAGGCGCTGTAAACGACCAGCGAACGAGGATCCTCCTCGACACAGGAGCGAACGTTAGTGTGATCACGGACGCCTTTGCCAAGAAGTTACGTTTCCGATATGTACCCGATCGTGGACGCCGCATTGACATTCAAGGGATCAACGAAGGCAAGGTGTCAACGACGCGACGAGCGTGCGTCAATATTACGCTCGGATGGGAGATGGTGTACGAATTCGAGATGTGGGTAATGGCGCATAGTGCAGGCGTCGACGTGGTACTCGGGACCGACTTTATGATCCCGGCTGGGATCCGGCTGGACCTGTTTCACGGCGCAGCACAATTACCGCACGAAGTTCAAATTTCACTGATCAAGACCAAGAACATGATCGACAGCGAAGAATACGGCTCCCGTGTTAACGCCGGGCCACCTGAGCGTTTGGACATTCAATCGCACAAGTGGCGAGAATATCGACTAGCGAAGCGTCAAGTCGGGCTGGAAGAATACGTACTGTGGGTTCGTCGAACGAACAAGCTAATCCCGGCAGTGGCGAGGTTTCGACGTGGACGGCCTCAGAGTATTCGGTTGATTAATGTGTCTGACCAGACTGTGTACCTACCAGCACACGACTCGATCGCGATGTGGATCCCAGAAGGGGATTTGCCGCGAGGTGACGGCTATGTGCGTCTAAAGGCCAAGAAGTACCAAGACTGGCAAGTGTTGGCCTATGAAGGCTGCAGAGACCGCGAACTGTTTCAGCGGGAGTGCGAGATCTACGAACAATGGCTCGCCACTCAGCCTTCGGCAGTCGAGCACCGGGACTATCAGAACCCAGTGGGGTGCTAGCACGGCCTCTTGAAGACTCGCTAATGGACTCTAGTGATCGTCAGACCTGTGCAGAGCGCTGGGCAGTGATCATGGAGGAACGTGAGCGAGTAGAGGCCTATCAGGTGTCCGGGGTGACAGCTGGGGACTCGGCCGATGGTCAGTCTTCCGAAGAACCTTTGGATACTTATACGACAGCTCACGGCGGGGGCAATATTGCAAACGAAGCCTCGGAAGCGCGTACACACGAACTACTGAGCCCGGTAAACGTTGTACATACGCCAACGAGTGTTCGTGTCAAGTCTGGGGTGACCACGGAAGCGACAAGTAACAGCACTGGATTAAATGGAGTCACCAGGTTTGACGACGTTGTCCCGGCCTTGTGTGCAGCCAAATCTGCGAATGAGACATCGGTGGTTGATTCAGAAGATGCAGGCATCGCGCGGAAGGTGTTGAGTACGGAACCGAGTGTTCATTGCAAGATTGGTGCGAATGCCGAACTGTCAAGACAGCAGCCGACCGAGGAGCTGAACAAAAGTCAACAACCCAATATGTCGGTAGCCCGCACATTCAATATTGCGAACGACGACTCGGCAGATGGCCCAGAGATGGGAAATCAGGATGGGAAGGAGATGGACCCAGTACCGACTGTTGAAATCAAAGCGGATGCCGACGTTGAGTCAAGAGAAGAGTCCGTAGCGACTTTGGACGGAACGTACATCTCGGTTGCTCGAGTATTAACAACCGAAGGAAATGAAGCAACGGAGGATACGAGAAATGACTTCTACGAACACCCGGCTAACAACATTGGCTTGAAAGACTACGCGAAGGAGCTGGCATTCCTGCCGGACCTGACCGAAGAGATCAACACGACAATAGACTACAAGGCGTCCAATGTTGCTGACCCCCAGCTGTCGACCGATCGCAAGGAAGGTCTGGTCGCAACGCTGAAGAGCCACGAGCACATCCTGATTGCTAGTGGTAACGCACTGCCGCCGCCCGCCTACGGCGCAGTCTGCGATATTGACACGCAGGGGCACGCCCCAATTAAACAGCGTGCCCGGCGCGTGCCGCTACTATTTCTCGGCGAACTGTACGAGCTACTGCGCGCTTTGCTGCGAGCAGGACTGATCGTCTTTTCAGACAGTCCATGGGCATCGCCAATCGTGATTGTGATGAAAAAGAACGGGCTGGACATCCGGCTCTGCATTGATTACAAGATGGTGAATGCTATCACCGCAATCATGGAGTATGCAATGCCACTAGTCGACGATCTGTTGACCGATCTCGAGTGCTACCTATGGTTCTGCTCGCTGGATGCAGCAAGCGGCTATTGGGCGGTCATGATGACCTTGCGAGCATTCGTTAATGTAGATCTATAACTATTATGAACTTGTATCTGAAATTGAACGGGCGTTGCGTTTAATCCCAGCCAACTAATAACTCGCCTATACGACCGGTCGAGGTAGGCAGTACCGCTTGCCTGAATCCTCATGTATTCAGTAGAAGCTAAACTATTTATCCCGAGCTCGGTTAGAGCGCCTGCAGTTGTAATAGCTGCTTGGCTGCCATAGGCTAAGAAACCATTAATATAATTGAAAACCGTAATATCAGTAGCCGACAAGAATTTATGTCAGCGATACTGCCTGATGCGTTAAGGATCAAAGCTTTACTAGTGGATGCAGTCCCAGGAGAGACGCCGGATAGATAATTGATCACTGTGGTGGATGAACAAATTATACTTGCACGCAGCTGGAGTGTAGTGGGATTGGTATTGAAATTTAAGGATGATATCGAGTCTAAGCCCTTTAGAGACCGCGATGAACCAGTGAATACCAAATTGCCGCCTATGAATAGTCCGGATAGTGTACCCAACGGTGTGATATTAGGTTGACTAGCTGTCTGCAACACTTCGCGCATATCGTTGATTTGAGAAGCAGGCTAGCCCCGAGACACTGCTGATAGTGATCTCTGATCTGTTATCGATCGGGAAGCACCTGTACATGCCAAATTACCACCTATGGTTAGTATGGATAGTGTACCCAACGATGTGATATTAGATTGACTAGCTGTCCGGAGCATTCCGGGTAAGCTAACTGCTGATAGTGATTTCAGACCTGTTATCGATCGGAAAGCACCTGTACATACCAAATTACCACCTATGGTTAGTATGGATAGTGTACCCAACGATGTGATATTAGATTGACTAGGAGTCCGGAGCGTTCCGGTTAAGCTAACTGCTGATAGTGATTTCAGACCTGTTATCGATCGGAAAGCACCTGTACATACCAAATTACCACCTATGGTTAGTATGGATAGTGTACCCAACGATGTGATATTAGATTGACTAGCTGTCCGGAGCGTTCCGGTTAAGCTAACTGCTGATAGTGATTTCAGACCTGTTATCGATCGGAAAGCACCTGTACATACCAAATTACCACCTATGGTTAGTATGGATAGTGTACCCAACGATGTGATATTAGATTGACTAGCTGTCCGGAGCGTTCCGGTTAAGCTAACTGCTGATAGTGATTTCAGACCTGTTATCGATCGGAAAGCACCTGTACATACCAAATTACCACCTATGGTTAGTATGGATAGTGTACCCAACGATGTGATATTAGATTGACTAGGTGTCCGGAGCGTTCCGGTTAAGCTAACTGCTGATAGTGATTTCAGACCTGTTATCGATCGGAAAGCACCTGTACATACCAAATTACCACCTATGGTTAGTATGGATAGTGTACCCAACGATGTGATATTAGATTGACTAGGTGTCCGGAGCGTTCCGGTTAAGCTAACTGCTGATAGTGATTCAGACCTGTTATCGATCGGGAAGCACCTGTAAATACCAAATTACCGCCTATTGTTAGCCCGGATAGTACCCTAAGAGACGTAATATTGGACGGACTACCTGTCTGCAACGTTCCGGTTAAACTTGTCGACGAAAGTGACTCCAAACCTGTTAGCGATCGAGAAGCACCTATAAATACCAATACCGCCTATTGATAGTCCGGCTAGGGTTCCAAGAGACATAATACTAGATTGACTAGCTGTCTGCAACTTTCTGTTAAAGCTAACTGCTGATAAATCATTAATGCCTGTGATATTACCTGATGCGTTAAGGACCAAAGCGTTAGTATTAGATGCAGTTCCAGGCGCTATACCAACTATATAATCAGGAGTCGCAGTGACTGATGATCCAATAACCCTGAGAAAGGAGCAGCTTAGAGCACCAATACCGCTAATGCTATTACTAATTCCGGGTACTAGAGCTACTCATTGTGTTCTATACCATGAGTAATCCCACAGATGTATGATAGTCGATTTTCGTTCCTCGATAAATACAATGTCTGAGCATAATCATACGTTAAAAAAACCACTTGCATCCAATGAGAGATAGAATGCTGGATTGTAGATACTCGAATTGAATACTGGATTTGGATATGAAAACCCAGAGCCCATTTTGGCTGAGGCTCTATAGTAGACGATAAAACATGATGAGCATCCCTGATTATGGAGGTTCGCTCCTTAAGAAATTCAAGGCAGCCTCGATGGGCGAAATTTCCAGCATTAGGTATCAAAGCATTATTTAGAATGATCGTATTGGGTCCATCACTTAGCAAAAAATAAATTGTGTTTGTTCATTATCAAAAACTCCCGTCATGTATATGCACATCTCCCGATCATTACCCGTAATCCGCACCAAAAACGCTATGGCTACCTTAAAGACAAGCTGTGCGAATTCACAACGTTCGCTGGTCATGACTCTCCTCCGCGCGTTGATCAGGTACGAAGGACTCCACTGAGTTCGAATAAACCGGACCTGATCATCATTGACGCCTACAGCAATGATAACCTACGTCGGAAGAATCTGTTCTCTCACTACATGACCAGGGGGCGTCATTTCAAATTGAGTACCATTTTCCTTAGCCATAGCTACTGTGCCACCGATAAGATGCTGAGATTGAATTCAAAGTACGTGACGATCCAAAACGCCAATTCGAAAAGAGATTCAGCAATGGTTGTCAAAGAGTTTAATATCCCCGGCGTTGATGAACGATTGATCGTCCATTACTACATCCGCGCTACGGAGAGGAAAGGACAAATTCTGCTTTGCGATAGCGTAAGAGAACAATTGCGATACAATTTCGATCGACCTACTCGAACGGAAGAGTAATTATTAATATCTGGTTAAGATGTTTTTAATAATACATCAATCATGTGTGCGTCTTTTGTCAAGCTTGATTCAACGAACCTTGTTCAGGATGGTTACAATAGCTCATGGAAGTATTCGTTTCCTGGCTCCGCAGCCGACTTCAAGTACATCACTTGCACAGCCCATCGATTTCTATGTATGATAGCGAGTATAATATTACTTCAGCTCAATTCTGGAACAACTCGTTCCGATTGGAGCTACCGACTGTTGGCACAACATCTATGATCTTAATCGTTCTCCCTGAATGTTTTTTATACGTATCCGGATATCAATCGAAGCATTCAAACCGCTCTGGTGAATGCCTGAGCTTATCTAGTTGATGCATCGGGAAACAATGTGTTTATATTCAGCCGACTGAGCATAGTGTCTACTATGTTGCTCAGGTCGATTTAAGCACAACACCGTCGAGTCTATCAGCGGGCTACAGTCGTCCTGCTACTGGCTTATACAGTACCGGTGGTGCAGATCTACCTACTTCAACATGTGTACTCGCCTGGTTATTGATAACGCTGTCTTTTGTAAACTCATTGGGCTTACAACTGGGACGTATCCATCAGCTCCTTCTACCGTTGCGAGAGCTCAGCTATCAAACAGCATCCCTCCTTTCACGGGATGTCTACTAACACTTATCCCTTATCGACGACGTACCTCGCCACGAACTGACTTGATCAGTTTCTCATGCTCTGGTTTGGCTGCTTTGGAGAGCAAATAATGCTCGCCAGCATCGCCTCTATCGGTTAATACTCCTTTTCATTTGGCATAAGAGAGGACATTCTTTGCTGCCTTCTTGGCGACTGCTACGTAGAGCCGGCCTCCTGCTTTATCCGCATCGCTATCATAAATACCTATCACCGCTAGCGATTTGAGAGCCGCACGAGCAGGCCTGCCTGCCTGAGGAGTTCCAAATGCTGTCGCTAGCGTGGGTACTGCAACGTCGGCTGCTTTCGAGAATATTCCGTTATCTTTGAGGAAACAGAATGCCGATTTCAGACCGGATTTGATTTTAGACCCGATTGGTCACCCTTGAACTCGCTTGTATCCGTTTTTGATCTCATGACGGGTCTAACGCCACGACCCTCCCTGCGAGCCTTGATTGCCTTCTCACAGCAAGCTGGATGGAGATGAACAGTAGCTTCGCTGCCTTTGAGCTCATTGGGTGTACTTACCCGTTTTTAGAGCACGAGTTAGCTTGGCTGCTGGTACATCGCTTGAAATCGCTAGTTCGCGATACATGGCTGGCTATATTCGTATGAATCAGATATATTCTAGGATGCGCATGTTTGTGAATAAATTGGGTTGATTGTTCTGCTTTGAGTAGAGCCAAAGGAGACATCTTATCCCACAGTATTCATCATTCGTGAGAGCTTCGGCATGGAGCTCCATGCCAAGGGCACGTACCTTGATATTGTTTGGTGTTGTATGTAATGAAACGATATTTTGTTGGAGGTCCTTCTCCCATACTATCGAAATATTCATTGATGTGGACTGACGTATCTCAAGATTAGGAGGTCTCATCAGAGTTTTAAACGATCCCTTTTTCGGAGGTGGCTTTGTTATTTCAGATGATTCATAGATGTTATCGAGATTAACACCAAATTTTCCAATAAGTTTAATTAGATCGTGATCACCCGTAATACCCCAGCCGGACGCTAAAGTCCAACGAGTTGAATTACAGAGCAGTGGACAAGGAGATACTGACACTTCTACCGGTGTTGGATCTCAACTGTAACCTGCTGGTGCGAAGATCCATCCGGATCTTGAATCGACATTCCACACTCGCCTGGTTGTTTAAGTCGGCCGGCCTGCAAGGACGGTTGGGACCATGGGCAGCCCTACTTTAACCATGGACACTAGAGATCGTTAAATGTTCGAAAGAAGAAGACGAGATTCTAGGAGTCTTGGCCGCGAGCATCACGCCCAGTGCCAAGATGGACGAAGCACTGACTAGGATCGCTCCTAAGAAAGCCCCAAAGCCAGACTCAGATCCCGGTGCCGACGGTGCAAGTCGATGAAGATCTATACGTTCTGAGTTTCGATGGATCCCCCCGCGTGCGACGCGGAGGAGGGGCTTACAGCGCACTTCTATGGAAACTGCCCGGATGGGAAGTGGTAAGGGCCAGGTCCACTTACGTGGAAGGCCTCACCGTCAATGAAGCGGAGTACAACGGACTCCTGTTGGGGTTGGATCTACTAAAGGAAGAGGATCCGAAAAGGCTGGTGATATGTGGAGATTCAACTTTCGTGATCAGACAGGTGCGAGGTGAAATTGACTGCAAAGCCCCGGTATTAACGCTGTTACGTCAGAAGGTGATGACTCACCTGCGTGGTTGGATGAATCACGAGCTGGTACATGTCAAGCGAGATTGGAATGCAAAGGCGGTCCAACCCACTGCAGAGGCTGAGTATGTCGCTGCTCGTGAGACTACTGTGGCGGGACGTGAAATAGAGAACATGCTGGACGAAGTAATGCACGTGCTCGAGGTAAAAACATAATTGGCGATGGGTGTGGACAACAACGCAGAGATTGCACTTGCTAAGTCATCTACCTACAGCAGCAAGACCCATCACATCGAGATTCGCTGGCACTATGTTCGAGAGCAAATTAAGAAAGACCTGCTTAAGATCCACAAGGGGGATGGTGATAACAACCCGGCGGACATGTTTACCAAGGCTTTACCGAAGGGAAGCCTCGCCTAGTACTGCAAACAGATCGGTACGGTCACGAGACTGCCCTCTACAAGCAGCTAAAGGTTCCGGCGCAAGCGTCGGTGGGGCCGTGTAAAGATCGCACTCTGATTGCCACAGTTTGGTTGAAGTGCAAGCAGAGTGGTGGTCCCCATGCCGTCCCAAAAGAGAGACAAGGCTGAAGAACATCTCAGACGAAATCCCATCGAGTCTGTGTCTTTCAGTGAATGCGTATTTTGAACAAGCTCAGTCTCCAAAAGGAAACTGACGGACAAGTAGCGAGAGGAGTTGAGCGAGTTGGGCAGCTAAGTAGGAATAGAAACTAGGGTTTTGCATTTCATAGTTCCCTATCTTTGACCGTGCTCAAGAACTGTGCTGTGTACTCCGCTCAGAACAGTAAGGTCAAGACCACGAAAGCATGACGCAGTATGTAGTACCATGCATTTGAATATGGATCAAATTAAGATCGCTCAATCTAGCGTTTATTTCTTAGCAAAAAACAAGTTTTTATAATTAGGTATATGTTCTCACTTAGCTCGCCAACAGAAATGGAACAGAGCCATACAATGGCGTTTTTTTATATGTAGCCTTGCCCATGGGAGGGGTGGTGGGCGATGGGCGATGTACTTCGTGTCTTGACTGAGGGGCTTCTGTACGAAAAAAATGGAGTCTGTAAAATAAACATAATTAGTTATGCGATAGCTGCTTAAAAAAATAAAAGTAGTTATCACATACTAAATATTACACTTGCAATTATTTCTTTTCAATAAAAAACTTTCTTAGCCCCGTGAAAAGTCTGAGTGCATATCCACTCGGATAAGATAATTCCTCTTTCAGAGAGTCTTTCGTGCATATCTTTCTTTAATTGGTCGCAAATTACTAATCTGATGTGACAGATCGTAATTCGTGGATAGGCTGTCACATAACGGAGTTTTTACAAAACAGGGAGGTCTAATTTAGACTTTGAGGCTAATTATGACAGAGATTAATTTGCCAGTTTTGCAAAAATACGTGCAAAGCACAACTAAAGTCGTGAGGCACAAGGGGAGCTCTAGATTATTTAAAGATCTCATAATATGAAAAAAGATCACACTAGTACGATTCCATAAATTGTTACCAAATACATGTATTTATATTTACAATTAATTGTGACAACCAATTAAGATACCCAAATAATATGCTATTAACCCTTTCGTGCGCCTCTTGTATATACTATAGTTGACAACTAGAAGTCATTTATATCTAAAGGGGCATTTCTCGCCCTTTTACAAAGTCACGGTACTCCTTTTGAACTATCTCTTGTAACAAATAATTTAAGATAGGATGGTGATGCAATGTGGTACATGAATTTTGACTACATTAAAGTATTCTTAAATAATTACGAATACTGTAAATTCTATGTCGCAACATATAGTTGAACTTCCGTTAAACGGCGAAGAATGCGCCTTTTAATAGGCTGATTCCTGTTCTTTGCACAAACCACTAAAAGGGCGACTTCTGCGCCCTTTTACCACGAAGCGGTTAATAATAGAACGAATTGAAGTGTTAATAAACGCGATTGTTAAATATAATCATGTTTTCAGATATTTCTAGGATCCATACGTCTGAGTCTTACCCCCCCTAGTGGAGTCTGGTGTCTGTCCGTCCGTCAGTCCGTCCGTAACGGGCTAGGGTTAATAATCCTCACGCTAATACGCGCGTTCTACTGGCTGCCGAGCGCAGCGAAGGCGGCGTCGATTCGCTAAAATTGCAATATGTGGTGTACACACTGTATGTGGTCAACACATGTACTTAAAAGCACCGTTCAAATTTCATTTTGCTTTCATTTTCAGCTGCATGCAAGGCCACGTGAAGGGCGCTGCTTGTGCACGCGTTAATTAGCATTAATAGGAGGCGCCGACGTGCACACACATACAATATCGTCGTAGGAGCTGATGAAATTTTTTGTAGGCCCTGGTGACTTATATTTAGGCCTCAATCGAAACTTTAGTACTTATAGGATATATAATGATATTTAGGCTTCGTAGTACTTTTAAATAATAAAACTTACAAAACTTTTGAGTAATACTATGTTTTGAGAATTTTATATTTTTCTTGCAGACGTTTATAGCAGTACTACAAAAAATTAATTAGTTGCGCAAGAAAAAAAACGCATGTTATTACTAATACGAATCAATTTAAACCAGAGTACCGGTATTAAATTTGCGTTAGATAAAGATGCACAATTTATTACTAATATTAAATATTCAAAATGTGAATATAGTGGCTTCCCACCATCCCACCCCACATAACCATGTACACCACTCCGCCGCCGATAAAAAAGGATCGTATTCCTTTGTATTCGCGCGCGTAGTGTACGACCTTAAGAGATTGTGCGCACTTTTCACCACGATATGTAGCATACATCAAACAAAATAAAAACAGCGTTTGCGATTGAATTAGCGCGGAGGCAAGTGGATAAACAAGAACACGAAACACAGAGGAACACCGGCGCACACTATGTACACGATGGGGTAGAGGGAAGAACACGAAGCACAGAAGGCCACGGACGTTGAAAAAGGACTAAATTAATGAAGGCAGCTAGCCATTCTGAAAAGCACAAACCACGGACGAGCACGCTACCATGAAAACTTGGAATGGCAAGAATATGATGGGAGCGTATGGATCACGGAAAGTAACTGAAGTAATGACACCCCAACATGCTGAAAAACACGGGCCACGGAAACGGTAAGGTGCACGGAAAGCAATTCTTCCATAACACCACGGTAGAACATGAAGCACAGACGATGAACCTAACACAAAGCCACAGGAGAGCATAAGCGGGAAATCACCGAGCATTGGAGCACGATACCAGGGTAGAGCTAAGCCACGGAGCACAGTGTTACGGTAGCTCACAATAGCTCGGACGACAGACCAACCACGATACCGCGAGATAATACGATTGCACGAACGGTGGTCCAGCCACTAAACCGTGAGATAACACGCAGCAACGGGAGTTATAGACGGCAAATCGCGGAGCCACAAAAGGCGATTCCACGATTGCACGGGCGGCAGATCAGCCACGGAAGCACCGGGGAGCGCTTTTGGATATCACGATTGCACAACGTGGATCAGTATGCCATTGTTGAATATAATAACACGGGAAACACAGATGCACTACGCGAGCACGAAAGCATAGGATAGCAGAATTATACTGCGCTCGCATGATAGCACGATAACGCGGTCGATGAAGTCACACCAGGAGAGCACGTTACACGGGGGACGGATCCATATAACTACGGAATAGCACCCGTCGGCGAGGGTACCGTCGATGAGACGCCATGGACCATGAATGAATATGGACCACTAAACCTGTAAACCCACTCAAGACCTTGGGAACACGGAAAAATAGCAGCCACGAAAGGGTGTCGTTCTACTGAAAAACATGAACCCAAAAAAGAGAGCGCATTAACGGAAAAGGGCAATATCCACGGAGGAACATAGACGCCAACCAGTAGTACGGAGCAACGGACGCGTACGAATTAACGATACCGTACACTGCCACAAGAGACTACGAAATGACAGGTGTTTTAAGTACACGACACAACATCGCACGGGGATGGCCGAAGCCTCGGGGTACAAGATCAGACTGAAAGCACACAACACACGAAGTACTTAAAATTGCGGCCACCTTATCTCCAACAAACCATGCCACTCCGCCGCGTAGCGGCGGCGAACGGCTAGTCTTAAACATCTACTGCAGCAACCTGTCTGTCCGTCACACTAAATTGTCGTGCCTGTCACGCTTTTCTGGACAAATCATTGGATAAAATAATTTAAATATTTCTACTGGCTGCCGAGCGCAGCGAAGGTGGCCCCGATTGGTCTAAAAGCTGCCGAGCGCAGCGAGGCGGCCCAAATCGGCACCTTCCGCAACCCTGCGGGCCTATGGGCCCGCCTGAGCCACAATCTGCCAGCCTACCATGCAGTGAAGCGAGCCGTAGCGAGCGGAACGGAGGCAAAACACAAGAACGACATTTATTCTTTCCCGCCGTGTAGCGGCGGCACTCGGCTAGTTAGAGTCAGTTCTACAATGAGGGAGGCGATGGTACCATTGTAATGGCACAGTTTTGGAAAGAGATTCCTCCGGATAGTGTTAAAAGGGGTATCACTACAAAGAGGACTGTCTGTCACGCTACCGGTACATTCACTTAAGTACGAAGTTCCCGGCTGGTTCACAAAAGCTAGAACCCATGGCCAAGGACAAGAAGAAGCGTCGGCGCAATGACAAAGTGCGTTCCAGACTTTGCATCACTCCAAGTACCCGCAAAATGAGTGCTCACTGACGCAACCTCACCCACCAATAGAAACACACAGTCAACAATTCTAATGCCGCCGCACAGCAGATTCGCGCTGCCAAATCGCAGGCTAACGCTATTTTCTCGCTAACGGCGTCGTCTAACCCAAATCCAAAGAATTTGGGTCCGTTCAGCGACCGTCAGCGCATATTGGTGGTTGGCGATGGCGATTTTTCTTTTTCTTTGTCTCTCGCTGTCTTCCTGGTACGCAACGGAGACTATCTCTAGACATCAAAGAGGAGTATCCGGTAACGGACTGTTATGTAATCATCTGTAGGGTGGCAAGAACCTGGTCGCTACATGCTTTGACTCGAAATTAGACCTCAAGGAAAAATACCCAAACGCGTTATTGAACTGTGACGCTCTGGAGACGGCCGGGGTGTGGTTGGAAGTACCCGACGTCAGGTGCTTTGAACTTTAACTCATGTTTGTTGTTACTGTTGGGCTCAGGCTGAGGTGCACTTTGATGTGGATGCGACGCATCTGGAGAAGGAGAGTTGGCTGGACGGTGCTCAGCCGCTCCAATCGATCGTCTTCAACTTCCCGCATCTTGGAGGAGCGACGGAAGAAGACGTGGCCAACAATCAGAAGCTCTTGAGAGACTTCTTCTACTCGACGCGCCGATACCTGCATCCTACGCATGGACAAGCGCTCGTCTCACTGCGTAACACTCTGTTTTACAACCGCTGGAAAATTCAGGAGCAGGCTGCAGCGAGTGGATTTAAGTTGAAACGGTATGTGAGTCATTGCAGGTCAAAGCGAGATTTTAGACTTCACGGAAGTATTTTGATTTTCTGGTTGTTTTTGTAAACAGCACGGAGGTATTCGACGCGAGCATCTACTCTGGCTATGAGCCTCAACGCACGCACCCAGCATCGTTCCGAGGTGAACCGCCTTCTACTACTGGAGCTCATTATTTCATCTTCGCACTGGACAAGAGCGTTCAAGTCGTTGACCCACGCCAGCGAGTACCCCAAGATCTCAAGGCAAACGAACTCGTTTGTGGCAGTGCAGTGAAGAAGGTCCGGCTGTCTAAAAACTGCACTTTTGTGTCGTGGCCAGTTGCTAACTGGTGTCTGGATTGTGGAGCAACAGGAACAAGCGAAGAAGAAGACGACCCCACCAACAAAGATGAGCTGCCAGCCATGTGGCCTCACATTCCGCGACGTCAAGAAGTACAACGGTCACATGAACTCTGCCAAACACGCCAAGAAGGTCAAGGCACTTAAGAAGAAAAAACACTAGAGCAGTCTGAAAGTTGGATGATAGTATTTTCAAGACAACCTCGTCGATTTTGTTCTGGTCTAGCTACTCGAGCTCTACGATGAGTTTGCCTACATTTTCACGGGCGAACATGCGGTCGATTGCATTCGGAATGGACTCGAATTTCTTGTACGTAGTGGGGTCAACGCCAGGCTTCAACGTGCCCTCGCTAATGAGCTTCAGCAATCGCTCCGTGTGCTCTCGAATGTGTTCCTCAAAGTGATACATGAAGAGCCCTCGGATGGAAGCAGACTTCATCAGAATCTTCTTGTTCGCTTCCCACGATAGCAGCGGAGGCGGCCTTGGGGAGTCGTCTTGTCTTTGGTCTCCAATACTCGCGAGATGAAGCCAATCTTGATGATACGACCACGGACTGCAATGTTATCGACAGCAGCACGGAACATGTCGCCTCCAATGGACTCGAAAACGATGTCTACTCCATTCGGATACTCCTTCTTTAGCACATCGCCGACATTCTCCTTGTTGTAATTTATTACACGGTCGCAGCCCAGTTTCGTCAAAGCCTCCACTTTCTCGTCAGAGCTGGTAGTGCCGATAACATGGTTGCCAGCAAGTTTGGCGAGCTGTACGACAAACTGTCCGGTTCCCCCAGCAGCAGCAGTCACAAGAACGGTCTCATTCGACTTCATCTCACCGAGACATTCAAGGCAGATGGACGCAGAGACGCCGCCCACTGCAACCGGTAGAGCGTTCTTCGACAGCTCTGGGATCTTGATGGCGGCCGACACGGGCACTTGTACGTAGTCCGCATAGGCTCCCAGCGTCTGGTACATGACAGCGTCGCCCACTTTCACAGTCGTGACGTTACTCCCGACCTCAGTGACGAGACCTGCACCTTCAACGCCCGCGAGAAACGGCAGCTTGTCATGATACATGCCATTCGTAAGATTGACGTCGGTCGAGTTAATTCCCAAGAAGCGGTTCTTAACAACGATGCTGTCGGGCCCAGCGGTGGGTAGTTCGGGGACACTCACGATTCTGGTAGCGGCGCGGAAGTCCTTAGTCAACTTTACAACTTGGACAGCACGATAGGACGACATGCTTTTGGTGGAGAGCCTGCGGGTAAAAGATAGAAGCTTGATAGGGAGGAAGCAAATTCTAAACTGGTGATGGCCCATCACTGATGGGAACACGTATGTAGAAGCCATGGCCCATGAGAACCTCGAAGTCGGAACTTCCGACTCGGAAGACGAAAAAACAATCTAATACATGTAAACTACACTACTGTATGTGATATATTCTAACCTAAAGCGATCAAGATCGATTTGTCGAATCTGTGAATTAATAATCGACGCCGTTTACTAAACGGGTACAGTAGCGTAATCTCTGTTGCATTTTTTTCGTCACATCACGTATACTGGTACTACAGGTAGTAGTATTATACTACAGTAGTGCATACGTGTATTTTTACAAATGAAGCATGTACGAAGTATTATATTACTTCAGTAGTAATACTTGTATTGATACTGTGGTACTACACATACGTGCCCTTTGATCCCGCTCATCTTTTTAGCCGATTGAACTTTTCTTGTTTTACTTGAGACGTAGCAGTACTTACATGGCTACGGTTTCCAGGGGGAGGTCGCTACGCATGCCCCATTCCGACCACGAGCCGTCGTACACGGAAACTCTGCAAACACATTTTGCATGATTAGATCTTGTACATCCTGACAATAATTGGAGCTCACTTTTCCAAGGGCTTGCCAGTCAAATGCAGTCCGAAAGTTAACACACTCGCAGTCACCCCAGAGCCACAGCTGCGAAAAAAACACGAGACGTCAATCTAACGTTAGACATGCACCAAGCAAGGCAATGATTGTAGTCTATATTCGTACGTCGTGATGATCTGGCTAGTTTCGTCCATCTTCACATCTACAAAACACACACTGAAAAGGTTATACCCGCACTTCCTCAACACGGTGAGAAGATGCACGAACTCGCTTCGGCAAAAGCACTCTTGATCTCGCCCAAGTCGCGGAAAAGCTGTCCAATGCAACAAACAACCAAGGTCAGCTTGGCCAGCCTTGGATACATAAAAAAACACTCCAACAAACATTTACCGAGTAGTCGTCTGGGCTGACAATCTTGCCGAATGGGACATTAACAGACCCCGGGATGTGTCCACCACGCATGCCCGGACGCGGTTCCTACGGTACATATATATACAGCGAGTATTAAGTCAGGTCTATCCAATCACATGAGCACGTCACATCGACGTAGCCCTTACAGGTTCCTTGGCGTAGAAGCGCGCAGCTCCACGAGCGTCGACGATCTGTGTCTCCGTGTCAATCTTGGCCAGTACGTCTTCCCACGACACCGCAAGCACCTCGTTGGGCTCGGCCTTGTAGGATGCGCCGGCCACCACTTGCTGTGGCTCTCCCTTCTCGAGCTCGCGCTTCTCGTTCTTCCACTTGGTGATACCACCTTGTAGCAGAAAAAAGCTAACTAAGCCACACATGTTCTGGGTCATCTAAAAAAAAAATTCCCACCGTTGAGGATGTGGACATTATCGTGGCCAAAGTACTTGAACGTCCACCAGCAACGCGCAGGACTATGCCACACAAGGTTTGTAAGTCAGCATTTAAACAATAAACATATATTATATTGGCGTTGCTCCCCCACCTGAAGCAGTGCTTGCCTCCATATACGATAACCGTATCGTCGTTCTCCACTCCGAGGTACATCATGGCGTCCTCGAACGTCTCCGCTATACACATATGAAAGGGTTTACATGTGATGTCGAATGTCGATCTATTCATGAGGATGCAGTCACATACGCTTCGGCAACATGTGCGGCAGTGTGGACTTCGTGTCGGAGATCTGTTCGATGTCGAAGAACTGGGCTCCTGGCAGACGCTCCGAGACAAATTCCTGCTTAGCATTGCGGCTCTTGTCCAGGTACCAGGATGCGTCCAGGAAGCGCACGCGACGCTCCCCATTCTGCGAAAGGCTTTGCGCCTGTTCCGTAGACAGCAGCGGTGACAGAGAGCTCATCAGCCGTGAGGACAAACGCAGCGACAATCGGGTCTGAGAAGGGCAGCGGGCAAGCATGATCCTTATTAAGAAAGAATATCAAATTTTGATCAAAACAATCTGCAAGTTTATCTCTTTCACATATCATTTGTTTAATAATAGGCAGATTAAAGTTGCACCGGTATTTTCCGTCCGTCTGTCAATAAGTCCGTCAGTTTCCTTTCTTACTGCGTTTTCCTGCCTTTTCGCATGGCTACAGTCGACCTTTCTAATGCATTTTTTTCATATTACCGACTGCGCCTATCTTTCTGACTTGAATTAACTCTGCCAAAATTACAATTATAGCAAAAAAACGTCACACAATTAACTCGCGCGTGCATTGGTCAATATTTGTCGACCTGTGGATCTGTCGCACGATCACACTGGACAAGCCTCCCACGAGCCCGAGCAAGAGCCGGGCTCCCGGGTTCTTGGGCGGAGCCCGGAATATAAACTAGGCGGGCTCTCGGGATCCTGTGTTAAATAAATTAAATATAAGGAGTCCGTGTTATGGTCGGGATCCCGGTTAATTTAGATGCGTGTGACTTATTTGAATATCTAGGATCCAGATCAAGATTTCAGCAAACCAGGGCGTCTCAGTAAGGCCATGGTTCTAACAAGATCTCAGGCCCGTGCCGCAGCACAAGACCAAGCGGGCATACTGGAAGGAATTGTTACCGAGGTACACGATGAAGAGCTCCTTGCTGTCGTCTCTGCACATGCCCCTGCGCAGAATGTTCGCCTAGAGTCTCAAGTCTCAAGAATCGTCGACAACTTCTGGAGCGAGACCCAAAGACTTGCTGCAGAGACTACAATGCTGCAGAGCAATCAAGTTCAACAAGCGAAAGAGTACCACGCCGCCTTGGCTGCCATCCACCACGATGCTCGAAGCAGTACGGCTGAGCTGGCAGCACACCAACAGTGGATTGAGGGCCAGATACGAAAGGCCCTGGAAGACACTAACTTGGCTCTACAACAAGAACTGCAAGTTATTTCCAATGCCTAGGTAGTAGGTAATGAATCTTCGCGTTTATTTATCCAGGAGCAGCTGAAATCTGCGCGGGGGACCGCGCACCTTGAAGTATTGGAGATGAAGAGTGCGATAGCCGCCCGAGCTGCGAAAGTAGAGCAGATCGAGAGAGAAATGACAGTAGCAATCACAAATGCTCATAGCGCACTGGCGCAGCGGATAGATGGTGTGCTTTTGCAACCACAGGCCGCCATTAACGGAGATGTAAAAGGCCAAATGATAGAAATGTGGGATGCAATGCAGAAGCAGATCGACATGAAGTTTCAGCAGATGACTTCGAGTATTGTGGAGAACTGTATTGCAAAGTTGGAGGAGAGTGGAGGTGTTACCACCGGTAGATTGACGATCCGGCGCGTTCAAAGGCTGGTGTCGGAGTACGTGGCTAATCAGGAAGAGAATATGGAGAATAAAATTAAGCATCTTGTACAGAGCGCTCACTC